GCATCTGATTCAGGACAGGTCTTTTCAATCACTTGTTATACTTCTGAGAGCTGCACAGTGACTAAAGATGACAGAAGAATTGAGGCCTTTGAGATTTGGTGTTAGAGAAGAGCACTAAATATCCCATCTACTGCCAAAAAAACAAAAATATGTCTTAGAAAAAAATGCATCCAGAGTGCTCCTTGGAGTCAAAGATGATGAAGTTTCATCTCACATACTCAGGACATTTTGCTAGGACAGACTATTTCTTGGAAAGGGTCATCATGCTTGGAAAGATGAAGAGTCAACAAAAAAGAGGAAGACATCCAATGAGATGGATTGACACAGTGACTGCAGCGGTGGGCACAAGTGTGTCAGAGATGATAAGGATGGCACAGGACAGGGTTTCGGTGTATTGGTCACAGAGTTGCTAGGAGTTGTATTCAACTCAATAACACCTAACAACATAAAAACAGCTAGAGAGAGCTCTGGTGGTTTGGTGGTTAAGAAGTTGCACTACCAATCCAAAGGTATGTGGTTCAAATCCACTAACTCTTCTGAGGGAGAAAGATGGACAATCTCCCATGCAATTTAATGCCTCTGAATGAGTAGGTTCTGCCTCAGAAATACATAACAGTTCCTCTGGTTAGGTGTCCAATACTCATTATGTTCACAATTTAGCCAGGGCAATGATTTTGTTTCCATCTTACAGTGGAAGCAACAGGGGTTTGAAGATGTACCCTCAAGGTTAGAGCACTCTGGGACAGAGAGGAAGTCCCACTGCAGGACAGGCTATGTCTGGCTCCATCACAGTTTGTGCCCTGACCCTCAGGTAGGGCCAGCAGAAAGGCTAGATGTGAAGATAACTCTGGATATGAAGATAACTCACTGGAATTTTGAGCACAGGTGATTTGAATTCCCTTTCATATAGCTTTCCTCCCCAGGAAATGCTTCCACAAAGTGTTAGATAATGGATCATCTCCCAGGCCAGCCTTACTCTTCAGCCAGAAGCCAGGGCCGCCAGGCAATCCACTCTGGTCAAAGATGGCAGGGCCAAAGGTTGGTGGGCCTTCAGGACTAGGAGTGTACCACTGTCCTTTTCATGTGCTCAGCAAAATAAAACCTAGAGTAACCTACAACGAAGAGAAGATAAAGTAGATGAATGGGATCTTCTAAGAATCAAATCCCTATGCACATCCAAAAACTTCTCCAACAGGGTAAAAAGGGAAGCCACTGACTGGGAAAAAATATTTGGTAATAACATATCAGATAAGGGACTTATATCCAGAATTTATGAAATACTTAAGCACCACGACAAGATAAAGGTAAATAATCCAATAGAAAAACAGGCACAGGATATGAACAGACACTTCACCGAAGAAGACATTCAGATGGCCAACAAGCACATGAAGAAATGTTAAAAATCCCTAGCTCTAAGAGAGATGCAAATTAAAACAACTATGAGATATCATCTCACCCCAGTCAGAATAACAAAATTTAACAGAACAGCAAGCAACAAATGCTGGCAAGGTTGTAGAGAAACTGGAACCCTTCTTCACTGTTGGTGAAAGTGTAAAATGGTGCAATCACTGTGGAAGGCGGTATGGCGCTTTCTCAAAAAGTTGCAAATAGAGATACCATTTGACCCAGCAATTCCACTACTGGGAGAGAATATACCCCAAAGAGACCATAACTGACATCCAAGCAGATATATGCACACCCATGTTTATTGTGGCTTTGTTCACATTAGCAAGGAGTTGGAAACAACCTAAGTGCCCATCAACAAATGAATGGATAGAGAAGCTGTGGTATATTCACACAATGGAATACTATGGTGCATTGAAAAACAAGGAACTTATGCAATATTATTAAAAATGGGTGATTCTGGAGGACATTATGCTGAGTGAAGTATCTCAGTCACAAAAGGACAAATACTGGATGGTGCCACTGTTGTAAAACAGGACTGACATCAGGTTTGGGGGGAGACTGAGAAAGATGGGTTCAATAATGTATACTGCATTGAAACAGATGAGGGAGAAAACTGTTTAAAAGGGATATGTGATTAGGTATTTTTGTCATGACAGGAGTCTAGAGCGAAGGCTACATGGTAGAGTGGACCTGGGGGAGGGTTTGTAAAATAATGAAAGAATTTTTCTTTTACTTTTCCAAGAGGGTAGTGTTCTTGGGGGGGAAGGTTGGGAGGGGAAAAAAGTACAAGAATGAATGAATGGAAATCCAAAGCCTCTATAAATTTTTACTGAAATTAATAATAAATTTAAAATTAAAAAAATTAAGTTAGAGTAAGGAAGGCAATGGATTTATAACTGCTCATGCTAATAACACTATATCATGGCATGGAGGAGGAATAGTGGAACAGTATCCACATTTACAATAATCTTCTTACCAAAACCATTTATGGAAAATAAGAACTGCAGTGGAATGTGTATCTCTGGATTGGAAATGATCATATTGATAATATCTCTAGCCTTAAACTTAAAAGATTATATTGTTCAAAATTATTTGTTATATATTTGTTTTAATTTTTCCCTCTTTTAACAGCTGGGATCTAGAGGGAAGAGAAAAAAACAGAGAGTGGCCAAAATTATTGGGGCAGCTATTGCTGCCATTCAGGGCCTGTGTCAGAAAAAGGAAGTCCTACTCATAAACAATGCCACCCAAAGGTAATAAAGGAGGTCAGAATTGCTTCCACTGTGGAAAGCTGGGCCACTTCAGTAGACAGTGTCACAGACGAGAGCCACAAATAGGCAAGAGTGTAGAGAGGAAGCTCCCACTCACGTGCTTTAAGTGTGGATCAGAAGGACACTTGGCAAGGGTGGCCCACATCAGGTCCTCGTGGCTGACAGGAATACACCAAAAGTGCTAGTCAATAAGCCTTTTCTTTTAAGAACTACCTTCCCTCTGTAACTTGATTTGTGCCACTGTTAGAACCTCTACTTGGAATATTATTGCTTTTAAGTTTTTACTCATGTACTTTTAACTTGTTAGTTAAATTTGTGTCTTCTAGGCTGCAACACTTCCATGATTCATCTTCAAGGATATGAACATATACGGCTAAGCACAACTGATAACAGTGCATCTAAATTCCAAATCAATCTCCACAATAGTCTATGTGTTTCCTATTGCCAAAGGGGCCCTTTAGAGTAGTGAGAGAAGATCTTCACCCTGAAACCTACAGCATCCCTTTCCAGCAGGAAGTAGCTAAGAGAATACACCATCCCCTTTTCCTTATGAATCAGGGTGAAATCTCTCTCAGGGAGGAATGATAGGGAGTGGCAAGGGACACACTGACAAAGGAGATTAATCAGAACTGGTTTTGACAAGCACTGTGGCAATGGGACAATTAAAACAGACTTTCAAGGAATATTCAATCTGAATCCTTCTGGTCATATGGAGGTTTTTGAAAGTATTTCTTTGAGTGTATTATGTTTAATTTGTTTTATTTATGTATAAAGGATGCTCATGTAGATGATAACATAATTATGATAAAAACAAAGGGGGGAAATATGAGAAGCCAATACTAAATATTTGTAATAAACTGAATGCTATAAAAAACACACAAAAATAAAAACAACCCCAGAGTAAATATCCAAAGCGCCACCCAGTGCACCTCCCAGCCTGCAGGGTGTGGAAGGCAGGAGGGCACAGCCGCAAGCATCAGGCATCCTGAGGAGAGGCTTCCACATCCTTCACTTACTGCAACAAAGGAGACTTTGTTGTTGTTGTTGTTATGTGCCATTGAGTCTTGAGTCGCTTGCGACTCTTAGTGATCCTATGTACAACATCCCTAAACCCTGCTCTGTTCTGTGCCAATTGCACCACCTCCGACACACCCACTGCGATTACCCCAGTCACTGAATCAATCCACCTCAAAGAGGGCCTTCCCCTCCTGTTCTGTGATGTCTCTATCCAACATGTCCGAAGTATTTCAGATGAAGCCTCAGAATCCTTGCCTCCAAGTAGCAGCCCAGGTTAACCCTCTCCAGGATGAACCTGTTTGTTTTCTTAGCCGTCCCTGGTACGCTCAATACTCCAGCACCACAGCTCAAAGGCATCAATTCTCCTTCTATCCTTTTTCTATCACTGTCCAACTCTCTGACGCATAACAAGTGATTGCAAAGACCATGGCCTGTATCAGACGCACCTTAGTCTCCAGAGAGGCATCATCTTCAGTACTTTGAAGAGGTCCCTAACAGCAGACTTTTCCATTGCAACATGTCTTTTAATTTCCTGGCTGCTGGTGCCAAGAGAGTTGACCGTGGAGCCAAGCGAACTCAAGTGTTAACAACCTCAATCTCTTCACCATCCATCCTGATGCTGCTAATTGGTCCTGTGGTGAGAATCTTTGTCTTCTTGATACTGAGCCTCAATCCATATTGAAGGCTTCAGTCCTTGACCATCTGCAACAAGCACTTCAGGTCCTCCTCAGGACCTGAATTAGAAAATGTCCTGAAAAGGAGCTCTGGTGGCTTAGTGGCAAGAAGTTGCACTGCAGTCCCAGAGGTTGTTGTTGTTATGTGCCATCGAGTCGCTTGCAACTCATAGCAACCCTATGTACAACAGCCCTAAACTCTGACCTATCCTGTGCCAATCTCACCATCTCTGACATACCTGCCCCCATATTACCCCAGTCATCAAATCAATCCATCTTATCTAGGGTCTTCCTCTCCTGCGCTGTCCCTCCACACTCCCAAGCATGATGTCCCTCTCGAAGGACTGGTCCCTCCTTGTAACATGTCCAAAGTATGTCAGATGGAGGGTGAAGCTTGGCTGCTCCTTGGAGGCAAGGATTCTGAAGCTCCATCTGACATATTTTGGACATGGGGTAATAATGGGGAGATTGAGGTTCTGACTCTATGGTACACAACAACAGGCAGACTTAAACCTAGGTGAACCTAGGACATGCTGGAGATTTTCCTGGGATGTAGACAGACATGGCCAAGCTCCCTGGTTGGGGCCGTCCCCCAGTTCCTCCACCCTATTGCTGGTGACTTGGAGGTCTGCTACACAGGGAAGTCACTCACCTCCAGACTTAGCCACCACATCATCTCTGAGGAGCCAGGACTTGGTGGTGGGGAGCAGGACGGTCTCGGGATCTATGACAGAGAGGAGAAGCTCAGGTCCAGGCTGGACAAAGCCAGGTGTTCCGTTTCTCCTGACCTGATCCTAGCCAAGATGGCGGCTCTCACGACTGAAACACCTGACTCAGTTTAATCCTGAAGAGGCCAGAATTCTTCCTCCTGAATGGCCCTTCCTCCAGTACTTAGCTTTCCCCAAATCTCGGTAGGAATGCACTCCCCTGAAACGGGAAAGAAAACACAGATGCTGTGGCCCTACCTGGACCTACCAAAGCGGGTGCTCCCACAGTGGGCTTCCAGCACCTGTAATGATTTTATTAACAAAATCCCTGCGTGGGCTGTCAGAACAGGCTCTCTGGATCTACCCATGAGAAATGCTATTTCCTTTAAAGAGTGATTCCTGCTTCTGACAGTCCCTGGAATCTCTCAGGCAGCCAGCAGGACGGTCCCTGCATGTGTCTGCACAGGCTGCCTGCTTCTACCAGTGCCTACAGGCCTCTTCCGCAGCACTTCCCTCCCCTTCCCCCAGTCTGCGCCCCTAGAGTCTCCACTTAGCTGTAAAGCCTGAGGGAAAGGTGTCTCCCTTTGTGAAAGATGATCTGCCTGGCCTTTGATAAACGTTTGAGGGGCTGATCTTAAAATCTGTCCTTAGAGACAAACCATCCCTACGTCCACCTGGGGTCCCCATATTGACCCTGGCCAAGGTTTACGGAGGAAATCAGTGATTGACTGTGAAGGACAGGGAAAGGCCGCGCCCAAGCCGAGTCTTCCCCACTCCCCTCCCACTCCCCTCCGTGCCTCACCCAGCAGCTGGATGGCCTTGGTGGTCCCGTACACGTCCATGACGGCCCAGAGAGGATCGCCCATGCGTACCCCGCCGCGCAGCAGGAGCGGGGGCCCTGCGTTAACCTCCGCGAAGAGCTGGCCACGGTGGTCCACCCAGAAGCACACAACGTCCCCTGAGAGCATGCAGCCTTCGGGCAGCATGGCCGCCCACGTGGGGCTCTGCGCCTCCAGGTCGGGGCACACGAAGGGAGGCAGTCTGGGCGCAGGCCAGCGCTCGGGGTCCAGGCGTGTGAAGCCCACGCGGAGCCCCCCCCCACACACCAGCCGGACTTGGTGCGCAGGACACGCAGCGCCACGCGCTCTCCCAGCCGCACAGGCCGCTGGCTGAACACGATGCCGTAGTGGAAGGTGGCCCGCCGCCACGCTGTGCGCCCCAACACGTCCAGACCCACCGGGTGGAAGCGCAGCATCTCCCAGCCTGGCCTGATGTCTGGGGGAGCAAGAGGAGGAGGCATTGGTGCCTGCTCAGACCCACAGAGCCTCCCAGGCCACCTAGACACCCCCTGCGGCACCCCTATACCCCCCACATCTCTAGTGCTCATACCCTCCCCAGCCATCTCTACCTCCCTCAGCACTCCATCCTCCCACCCCTGCCACGTTAGTCCATGGGGGTGGGGGGGCGAGTCCTTAGTAGAGCTCAGGGTCCCGCACTATGCCTACCTCAAGTCTAAGTACTACTTTGACCCTCCAAAGCCTCCGTGAGGATAAAAGGTTCCTGCTCCTCTAAAGCAATTGTTGTTGTTGTTGTTGTTGTTAGGTGCCGTCAAGTCATAGACGACTCATAGCGACCCTATCAAGGAAATGCCTGAGCACTGCTTATAGAATTTCTGGAGGCAAGCTATTTCAGAAGTAGATGTCACTCCTGCTTCCAAGCTTGTTTTAATCGGGGAGCTCCACCAAACATTGTCCACTATGGGTAACCATTATCACATTTGACACATCAGTGTCACAATGTTTAGCATCACAGCAACAACGTAGGGATTTAATGTCAAACAGCAGAATTTAGAAAGTGACTGTGATCCTGTTTGTGTTAACTGCACACACACCACACCATACAGATGGGTCTTAGTAACTTTTAGTAACTTAGTAACTTTTCGTTGTTGTATCTGTTACTGAAAGGGAAAGAAATGGTTTTACCAAACAAATTTCTTACAGTTTAGAAGGCTTGTCCTGTTATGTCCTGTTGAGTCAGAACCAACCCATAGCTGACCCTCCAGCAAGTTTTCAGAGGCAGTAAATCACGTGGGAGAAGACTGCTCTTCCTTCTCAGGCCTAGCAGCAGGTGGATTTGAACCTTGTGCCTTTAAGTTGGCAGCACAGCTCTTTAGTAAAAATTCAGGGTGCCATTCTAGCGGCAGGCTTTCCTGGGTGCCTGCTCCTAGTAGAGTCCTGTCTCTTCAGGATCTGCTCCCTCCCAGTCAGGCTTCATGTGTTTTCCACCATTCTTCCAATCTCTGCATGTATGCTTTCCTCAGATCTCTTATCTCAAATAATCCCACACTAATTCTATTTCATGAACAGATCAGAGACAAGCAGTCTCCAAATGGGGTTACAGCCACAACATAGAAGTTAGGGTTTACAGTATGTGCTATGTGGGTATAGTTCAATCCTTAACAATGCATATGTTCACCCTCCAACATGGGCTTTAACTGCAAAGGTGCACATCTACTTAGATTTTTCTTAAAACTACACGTGGCACTAAACATTTTCATGTGAGCAGTTTGTCTCTCCAGTAAATTGCTTACGGCAGCAGGAAGGGTCCCTCTTGCTTCTCTCACATTTGTCATCATGTTTAGTGTACTATAACACCATAAAACCTGAATACTACTATAGGACCATGTCAAGTAGCATTAGTGTCACTGCGGATGCTCCTAAGAAGCAGAGAGAAGTCATGACGTGAAGAAAAAGTTGGCTTGATGTGTAATGTAGTTTGAGACCTGCAGCTGTGGCTCAAGGTAAAGGAACCGTGTGTGTGTGTGTGTGTGTGTGTGTGTGTGTGTGTGTGTGTAATCATGAAGCCATTGCTCTAGTTGTGACAACAGGCTAGAAAACAGAACTTTTTTTGCAAAAACTTTTTTATCTTGTATTAAAAATTTAGCTCTTTTTTTTGTGGGTGAAGTCTGTAACATAAAATACATGTTGATAGATTGTTTATCTTATTGGCAAGGCTTTTGGTCAACAGAAGGCTATTGATAGTTAAGTTTCTGGGAAGTCAAAATTTATATATGGGGTTTTTAACTGCATAGGAGCCAGCACTCCTAACCCCTGAGTTGTTCATGTTGTTGTAGTTAAGTGCCATTGAGTTGACCATCTCTCCTAGCAAGCTTATAACTGAGGGAACCTGCCCTGTCCTCTGCCATGTCCCTGTCTCCTGTTGCAGTCACTATGCAAATCCACCTTGTTAAGGTTCTTCCTGTCTTGTGCTGATGGAACTCTGCTGGTTTGTTGTTGTTGTGTACCATGAGTAGGAACCAACCCATAGCTGACCCTCCAGCGGGTTTTCAGAGGCAGTAAATCACATTAGATTGCCCATCCTTCTCCCATGAAACAGCTGGTGGATTTGAACCACTTGACTTTGGATGCAATGCAGTTTCTTAGCTTTATGCCAGCTGAGCTTTGTGGTAAGGAATTGCTCTGTCAACACAAAGTGTTTGGGTTCAAATCCACCAGCTGCTCTGTGGTAGAAAAATGGTCAATCTCCTCCCATGTGTTTTACTGTCTCTGAAGATCCACTGGAAAGTCAGCTACGAGTTGGTTCTATCTTGACAGTACACAACAAACAAGTTTTTATGACCTCCTACTGTTCCCAGAATGATGTCTTTTTTCCAAGGACTGGCCCCTCCTGACAACATGCCATGTTCAAAGCTCAGTTCTATAAACAGTGTGAACATGGATGGGCTGACCTACTAATTGTGGTCAGCTCTGGAAGACAGGCAAGGTGTGGGGGCGGTGTTTTACTCTGATTGTCAGTCTTCAGTTTTCACAAAGTAAACCTGCATCACTGTGAAGGAGAGAAAGGGCAGTGTGGCTAAGGGACCCGCTCAGCCTTTCAGAGTGCTGTACAGAACTCAGCCAAGGCCTGCCATCACCCTGATGGCCGGGGAATTTCTCATGACACTGCACCTCACAGCACTCCACTTGGAAAGCAGGCGGGTAAGTCCCTTGGCAGCGGGTAAGTCTCCTCAGCTGGCTGACTACAGGAAACACAATGGGCTTCCTGCCCAGGGATGGCCCTCAGGGGTTCTCGTAGCCTTGTCTCCACTCAGCCCTCTTTCACTCCTGACACAGATCTCTCTGGGTTATTATAATTCAGAAATTTAAAAAAATATATATTAATTCGGTCATAACTTAAGCCAGAAGCCAGCCTAAAGAGGCATTTCCCCAACTGGTCATGTCCAATGACACCAGCTCTCCAAACACACTTGAACAGGGACTCAGGGGTGGAGGGTCAGCCAGGTTAGACACAAGAGACACTCCTAAGGTCATTGCTTCCAAAGGCTAGGTAAGCCTTTTGGTTCCCTCATGCCAGCTGTTAGGGACAAACCTTTCCCTGGCCAGAGACTCCAAGTTTACCTTCCCTCCTCAAATCCCTGTCTTCACAGAGAACCCCACCCACACTGGCTCTCTTTCAGGTTCCCTCTCCCTAGAACCTGTCAGCTCTACTCTGCTCTCCAACCGTCCCAGCCCCATTCAAAGGGTGTGCACAGACCTGCCTCAAGGCCATTCCTCAGGAAGGGGAAGTCCCCAAATAAACACCTATTGTGACTTGGTGTGACCCTGGACAGCTCCCACATTGGGCTAGATGGCTTTGATCACTGAGATGCTGGGGTTCAGAAGGTCTTGGAATGGCCTCCCCTCCAGGGTGGCGGACAAGGGCTCACTCCAAGGCCTGGCTCTGCTGTTGGCACTGCTCCCTGGCCTCAGTGACCCTGTATACAAATGGGATTGGCAGGCTGTTCGGCCAGGACCTGCTGTCTTGGGCACCTTCCCAGGGGGCCTCTTGATATGAGGAGTTAGCTGGCCCTTGGACAGATCTTAGGTTGAGGTAAGACAGATAAGGGGTGTTGGTCAAAACCCAGGAGGTAGAGGCTGACCTCTTTACTTGGCCAAGTCACTGACATCTCTGAGGTGCTGGCTGTAGTCTTGGTAAGGAACCAAAATAAAGACCATGAATGCCAGAGGGCCGGTGATGAGCAGCAGAGCTCCAGCCCCAGCCTGGGATGTTTCTTGAGTGTTCACTCACTTAGGGGCAAGCCCTTCTCCCCGAACCACCACGTGCAAGGTAGAAAAGCCACCCCCTGCCCATGGGCTCCAGCCTCACAGAATCAGAGCTGACATTCAAATGGGTCTCACTGCAGCATCCACAGGGAGTCCAAGACCAAACAAGGGATGGACCCTGGCTCAGAGCTGGCCTTTCCCACCCAGCCCCTGTTCAGGTGCCCCCTCCCACCCAGCCCCTGTGCAGCTGCCCCCTCCCACCCAGCCCCTGTGCAGCTGCCCCTCCCACCCAGCCCCTGTGCAGCTGCCCCCAGCAAGGTCTGGACAGAGAGAAGTGAGAATGAGTTCACTTCCTGGAGAGGAGCCAGTGGACTGTGCAGAGAGAAGGAGCAACACCATGAGGTACGGCCCTGGGGTGTGTGAGTCCCTCCACAGGTTGAGGAGGCCTTGTGGACCCCAGCAGATGCAGGCCCTGCCCTGGACGGGACAGTCTAGAACTCCTGACCTAGTCCTGCCTCAGGCACTTTACAGAGGCCTCACCAGGCTGGGTTTTCATCATCATCACAGTCAGGAGGCGTTCTTGGTGGTACAGTCCATTTGAGTTTCACTGCTAACCCAAAGCACTTCTCTGGAGGTTTGAATCCACCAGCTGCTTCTCTGAGGAAGATGGGCAGTCTCCTCCCATGCTGTTTACAGCCTTTTAAACCTTCCACAGGGTCTGTTATGGGTCAGAACTGCCTGGGTGGCAATAGTGAGGGATTTAGAGTTAGAGGGGGCCAACTGAGCCAGCTGCAGCGACCACAGGTACCTGTGGCATGCCTGGGCTGCTCTCACTGCCTTTACAGCCTGTCAGCAGTCATCTGTATGTGGCCCTTGTCAGGAGTCTGGCCTTGGTTTTCCCACTTACTCTCTTCATATGGCATTGTCTATTGTCCACACAATACTGAGGGAGCCTACCCTCACCCTGCCAGCCCAGCTGAGTGCCCACAGAGTCCCTGCCTCCACAGGAGCCTGCTGCCTGAGAGTAGAGGAGGCTAGTAGAGAATGTGAGAGGCATGGAAGCCCACCTGAGACCCTCTGCTCCACTTATCTCCAGATCCTGGGGCAAGATCCCCCATCATCTGTCCAGGGCAAGTCAGTTAAGGCTCCTGGGGAGATGACCAGAGCTGCATCTGGCTCTCTGAGCAGGCTTGTCCATAGCTGGTTGGGCTGACCCAGGGCACAGAGCACCCCCATACGCATCTCCTCCCTCCTCCTCATGTGGCCATTCTTGTTAAGGACCCTGTGTTCAGGCTGGACACTAAGACTCAGAGAAGCTCCAGGCTGTAGGGAAGGGAGC